TATATATATATATAATGTATATATAGTACATTTGGTTTGCAAATATGTACCATATATGCAAACATATAGGAATTTAAAAAAATGCATGGAATGAAAAATAGTATTTGATGCAGATAATACACGGAATATGTTATGCAATCAACATAAACACAATCGTTTTCATCTAATTTACTCTTGTCAAATGGCTTACCTGAAAATAACTTAAAAGAACTTAATTAAATGAGTCTAATTGTTTTGAAAGCATTGACCTTAGAAATGTATCAAATCGGTTAAGAAACACTGTAATTGGCAAAATTGTAATCAGGGTTGTTAGCTGTGTTCTGGGTAAAATCCTGGGTGAAAACCGTCATATTGTTCAAATATTGTATGATTTTGAAACACAATGTCAAATCAAAATTCATAATTCCTTGGTACGGTCCCTTTTGTTTGTTTGTAGAGTTAAAATATTAAAATGTGTGTTAGAAGAGCATCTGTACAGATCAAGCACAGGTCACAGGAACCAACGAATTTCAGATTTAGGGAAAATGATGATCATGAGGATGTACAATTGCCATTTTAGCTTGGCAATGAGCTTTTCACCAAGGGTTCGATCAGAAACATTTGGCCTTATATTCCCATTATCTGATTACATAATGATTTACAACTCAATAAACATTATTTCACAGCACCACATATCCAAGACCCACCTTCGTACCATTATGATGGACAACCTGTCCTTTCAAATATTTCTTATAGCTCTTTTATGGCCACACTGTAAAATGTGTCTGGCTAGTGTGAGATTGATGCTTTATGTACAGTTTGAGGTGTAATTTGCAATGATGTGTGGCCCGTTTCTGTCTGTGCAATGCTTTATTGCCGTGTACAGATGCCCACATTTTAGACCAGTCTCTCATCCTGTTGTGCTCATTATTTTCTCGGCTAATACTGCAGCACCAGTAGTGGCACTGCTAAGAATACAGTAAGTTTGAACTTATGTGAAGCAGTGAACCTAGTCAAATGCATCCTGAGAGATCAGACCATCTTCCCACCACAACTAAGGAAAGGGTGCAGCCCTGCTGACAACGTGCCCGCACTTTGACACACTTGCACATGTCCTGTCAAAGTTTCCCTAGTGAATGTTGTCTTTTTAGTCAGGTTTCGAAATGAGAATGAGTTGGGACAAACCTTCTTAGACATAATTATTATATAGTCAAATTCCTGGTCGGCCTCAAAAATCATTTCCAATTAGAGAGACAGATGGGGCGACTGTGGTTACCTGGCTGACTCTTGGCTTCTCTGATGTCTTTTGCAGTCACTATGTACCGAGAGCCATCATTGCATGACGTGGGGGAGACAGTGCCCAAACCTGCCGTGCCTCCCAGTAAAAGCACAGAGCCGGCCATCATGAACGGAGGCAAACCTGTCAGCAAGGAAACCAAGCCCACCACATAGCCAGATCCCATCTCGGCCATGCTCAACCTCGGAGAGCCGTGCTCCTTTAGTCAGACTCTCCATGTTTGTGGATCAGATCCAGGCATCCTCTGCTCTCTCCTCCCAGTTCCCTCCATCCCCCTTCACTCCTCCGACTGTTCCGATCTAATTCGACGACGGATTGGCTCCGGAAGTGTGGTCAGCTGTGCACGTAGGAGGATGCAACTGGATAAACCAGCTAAACTTTCACCATGGAATGCCCTAACTGATATGGAATGCCTTTTGACATACAATAAAGCTGATGTTTTTTCTGTAATCGAGACAATCCACAAGAATGAAATTGTGTACCGCAGGCGCTTGTGTGGCGGTTCTTTAGCCTGCTAACAGTCACCCGTTATAACCCTTTTCTTGAACCCTATTGCATCAGAGACCATACATTTCAGATCTATTTTCTATATACACAGTAACACCAGCTACACTCTGGGGTAATACTGTAAAGATATACATAAATGGACTGGAATACACAACTTGTTTTTTTAATTTTTTTTTTATCAAGTACACTCTTGTGTCTCCTTCTTTCTAGGTGTCCCCCAGTCTCTGAAGCTCGAATTTCCAAATCTTTCCCTTTTGTTGGTTACTTATGAAATTTGTTATCGGGGCAGTGTGCGATGCGTTCTGGCGTGCAGTCATTCAAACACGATGAAAGTCCTTTCACGTTGATAATGGTCAAGAGACGTCAATCTCTCAAGGGGATGGAGCCTCCTAAACAGAATCAAACTCATTATCCAAGGTTCAGCACTCGTGTCTTCTTCTTGTAATGTCTAGAAAGGGACACAAGTATACTTTTGACAGCAAATGCCAGCGAGTGCGTAAGTCATGCCCGCAGCAGTCCAACACAAGGAGTTGGCATGTGCTGGGGAAGGTGTATAGATTACATATCACTATCTAGTGCGGTGTAAATTGGTTTCAACCCCAGTAACTAGGTGAATTTCCACTTTTCTTTGCTCTTAATTTAGAGCGTGGGCTCTAGGAATATCTATAGGCCTTGTAGGCCTCTGGTCAAGGCCCCGCTTTGACATGCTGACTCCTCTGAACTATGAGCTAGTTCTGGTGAGCACCTTAAATGTGACGAGAGCGGCAGCCATAGATAAATTCAGTCTACTTCAGGCCTGTGTGGTTAAATGGCTCAATGTAAGTAGGCACCATTACTATTGGCTGCACACCCATTTTGTTCAGCAAAGGCATGGCCAAGGTTAGTATTATGTTCTGTTCTTGCAGCGCTGACGCAGTGCAAGAAATGGCTTCTATAACAATGTTTTCACTGTATACAAATAAAACAAAAATCTTAAAAAAAAAAAAAAAAAGGAAATAGATTTTTAACTACCAGATATCAGGATTCTGAAATGAGAGGGGTTTTCCTAGCTCAGCATGCAGAGTCCAGTACTGCTCATCCTGTGCCTGTGATGACCTCTAACCCAGCATGCAAAAACATGTACCCAGTCTGTGCTGGGTTAAAGGTGCCTCATACCCCAGACACACACACACAAACACAGATTCAGTAGCAACTTAATCCACAAACACACAAAAGTTGATTGTTACCAAAGTCCGTAAACACGAGAATCCAGCCGAACAATTTTAGTGACTCTGAGGATGGCGGTCCTCTTCGGTTTTTGTTCTCATTGTGACTAGGGTTCATCACGAAGAACAATTGTCTCGACTTTTTAATCATTTCAATTCAAACTTGAAGAGATTCCAAATGATGTCCTTCACTTCGATTGTTCATTTAGTACAAGACCGGGGTACCTATTACTAATCACCTGCATGTGTTTTCTTAAGGACCAAAGTATGGGACGGCTAGAAATGTTTAAAGCTAGTTTGAGGCATAGGGCTACACTGTATGGGCATGATTATAGAAGGCTCTCTCATACTCTGGATTGAGACCATTGCACTTTGCGTTTGAAATCGTCATCTACTCACATCTACTTAGGATTTGAACGATTAGCCAATTATCAGCCGAGCTGAAATAAAGCCTGTCTTGCTTTAACAGTTTTCATAGTTTGAATGATGAATACCGTTTAGAATGTTATGAAGTAGACCGAGGCTATGCTGCTAAATACAAATATATTCTACACTTCATTTGAAGACCTATATTTTCATTTATTGGGATTTTGAGCTAGTTTCATATTAGGAGATGTTCAAGCACATTAGACTTAATATTTGTATGTACAAAGTCGAATTTAATGCTAGAATGAGATGCAGTACTATACAGGAAAAGTAGCTTCATATGTGAAACCAGTTCGAGGCTGGTGTCCCACTTCCACACGAAACAAATCACTCACTCCAATGAGCTCTACATGCTGGGCTACAGCTGCCCTGCAGACCAGTGAACTGGTTTTACGAAGGTTGGATTTATTTTTGTAAGTGACTGGTGAGTATGTGTGCATTAGTTAGTACGTTTGTTTGTTTGTTTTTTCCTCTTTCAAATGTCTGTGTTTGTTTGGTTCCATTCAGGTCGTGCGTGACGTCATTAAATCGTAATGAGGAGCAATTGCTGAACAATTGATCATTTCTGTGTTTTTTCCGTATTTCTGATTTTCAATGGTGAAGGAAGGTCTCCATTGTCTGTTGATTGGTTTTGAACATTGATTTGACAGTTACTTCATCTGTTGCATGGGAAGAGGGTGGCATATATGAACCGCATGTCGTAGGCTATGTGTATCATGGACTGTTGGTATGTTCTGCTAATTTTACATACATATATGCAACGAGTTTGTCTGCACTGTACAGTTTGTGTTTGTTGTATACACAGATACAACATATTGAATAAAATATTTATATAAAGGTGTACTGAAATCTCTAACCAATTCGATGCAATATTTGTGCAAAATATACAGATATTAACATGTAATGGGGTGAGCAAGGGTCAAATTATTTTTGGATTTATTTGTCATCCTTATCCTAGTTTTATTTATGCTAATTAAAATTTACTGTAAAAAAAACAGTAACATTTTTCAGGCATACAGGCCCTAAATATCACAGTTACCATAGAGATAAAATAATCTAGATATAATTCTAGATATGTTTAGCTTGTTTATACAGTAGTAAAATGAAGCTTTCATATGCAGATTGCAAAAAAGAGCTTTTTCATTCTCATGACATCTCAGAGCATGTTAAATGTATTGGCATCAGGCTGTTTACAACTTTTGTCACATAGAACTTACCGTACATAAAATAGGGACATAAAAACATCACACACAAGCAGAGCTCTGAAAAACAGCAACCTGAATAATAATAAAATGCTCTTATTTATTTGTTGGCCATTTGCATGGATCCTCTCCTTTTAGTGATATATATAGTTATAGTTATATGGAAAACTATAGAGGAAGATGTCGTCTCCCACAGCTGTTTTATGTGCATATAATGGAACTGAAACCACATTGCTTTAATTAAGAAAATTTGAATGCGGTTATATTGCACAGATCTCTAAAATCAATTTAAAATCCTTGTTCGCTGTTGGTGCAGCCGCCCTTTTCTTGTCTTGATTGACAACAAAATCAAGTGTCTACCAGGGGTTAATACCTCTCTCCAACCCAGATTTCACAGGCGTTTCCTGTCCAGCCATCCCAGCAGTCACAATTTCCGCAGTTGCACACACCGTTCCCTGGAACAGAAGTTGAGAGGAGAGACAGAACTGAGAAACCCGAATCATCACTCTCCAAGTCTCGACATGCTTTCTCTCTTCACACCCCCTTGGCAGAATATGTAATGGGAAACCAAGTACAAATGCAAGTTTTGGAGCCACTTTCTCTGGGGTCCTGTCTATTCAGTTCCAATGCAGTCCATGTGGCGGCACTGGTATGATTACATAGTGTTACTGCACCTTTTTTTTCAGCGTTTGTAAATGAACATTGTAATTTGGTGTACACAAAAATCATGATCTGTGAAGCTTACTAAGCCACTTCAAATGTATAATTTTGGTTAATAATTGAGTATGCATCTCAGCTGTTTGCAATTAGAATCAAAACCAATCAAACATTTTCTATTACAAAAGTACTAAGTAATAAAAAATGTTTAATCTAATAAAAAAAAAAAAAATTACTATTTCATCCAACAGTTGTGTGCAATGTATTTTTACGCATATTAAAGCAGGGGTTTTCATACTCGTAGGGCAAGTTTGATTTCTTTAGAAAAATTTGTGAATTATTATTACAAAATGTTTAGGGCTGTCAATGTTGTGTAAAAGATCTTTGTAATAAAAAAAAAAATTATATAAAGTTATATTATTTATAATTGTATTAATTTATAATTTAATATAAATTTTTCTTTTAAAGTTTCTAACATAAATAGTGTGGAAAAAAAACTTTAGTAGAGTATCACATCAGAATCTTAGGAACTTGTTAATGTAAAAGTCTAATTTATGAGGTTGTTTACATGCGCCATTAGAAGAGCTGTATGTGACAGCGGCTTTCGTTCACAAGAAAGCTTGAGAGCCGTATATTGTATCAATATCCAAACAGTTGGAATTCGCATCTGCTGTGCATGAAATCAAGCCTCGGCTTTCCCTAATACATTGAATTTTCTGCAGTGCTCATCAATTGCGGGTGTAATGAGAATAGCTTACTGAAGAAGCCATGAAAATTATTATTTAGAAACTGGCAGGCACATTTTTGCATGATTATAATTATAAAGGCTGAGTGCATTACTGTTACCCAAGGTAAGGGAAAGAATTGGCTGATTGTATGCTTTTGCATTTCATCTATAGAGAAAAGAAGGTTTTCCCTGAGCAGCATGAGAAAATAGTTTTAATAATCCTTATGAATATGGAAATGATGACATATGCCCTAATAGTTAATATGCTAATCAGTGACATTTAACAGACACGTTTATGCATTCCTTTTATCAATTTTGTTTTTTCGTCTTATTTTGTATTTTGCTTCTCTGCACCAGGAACTGTATAATTTGTTAAATGACATGGCAACTGATAACGTCATTAGACCAATAAGTAAAGTTTCAAAGTAGTTGTCCAAGCGTCCTCAAGCCTTTGAGCTATCATGATAATACATATTTATTGTGCTTATTATTAGCACTGACTAGTCAACTCTTCAAGGCTTTTAAGGAAAACCTCGACTCTCTCTGGAGCTTCTTTCCCATTGAAAAGCAGGACGAGAAGAACACAGCAGGAGCCCACTGATTGGACAGCTCAGTATAAGAGCCATACAGAGCTGTCTAATCAAACGGCAGCCACATCAGAGAACCTCAATATCCATCACAAAGAGATCTGTCAGCGCACGAGTGGGTGTTTGGAGGAGCGGTGCTGCATTTGAACACATACCTGTGCAAACCAGCCCATCATGTTTGTCGCACTCCCTGTCATCACACTCGCAGAATTCCCCTGAAATGTACCACTCCTGTGGTGAGCAGATACAGCGACCACAGTGACAAGAGCCTGCAAGAACAAATTAGCCTTCCGTCACACAACGATTGGAGATCCATTAGTCTTCCCTTATTCTCCTGTGCTATTTCACGTGATTATAAAACACTTAAAGCTGTGATACGGTTCCTAATTGGAATTTAAATAAAGTAAATTGTTTTTCTAAATGTGTACAGCTGTTGTTTACAAGGTCAAATTCCATGTTCCTACTGAGTCAGGAATAGACCAGTATACAAGCTAGGCCATTCAATTATCCGATATTTAGCCATTTGGAAATAATCTGCATTGGCTGATGATACAGGTGCACCATTAATAAAATTCTGGCCAATGCTGATAAGACAATATGTTTTGGACAATTACAGATAAATGTCAGATTTAAATGTAAATAAAAAATAAATGTGTTAAATGTATGTATGTGGAATTTTACTGTGCATTTAAAGGAATAATTCACTCAAAAATAATAAAATGCTGAAAATGTGCTCACCCTCAAGCTATCTAAGATGTAGATGAGATATGGAGAAATTTAGCATTACATGACTTGCTCACCAGTGGATCCTCTGCAGTGAATGGGTGTCGTAAAGTGAAAAGCTGCATGTTTGTAAGAAACAATTCATCATTAAGATATTTTAAAATCATCAGTCCCAGCCAGAATACCAGTCCATAATCCATAATAACTCTTCCACCAACATATTTGTTTTGTCTTGTGTTTGATCTGTGCATAGTTCTCTCCTGATTCAGGTGAGATGACTTGTTCATTAGAGAAAGCAAAATGATGGATAGAGGACTCCAGCTGGAAGCAACGGTTTGAAGTTAAACACATGTTAATGATAGATTTATTACAAACACGCAGCTTTTCACTTCACTAGACGTTAATTGATGGACTGGAGTTGTGTGGATTATTTGTAATTATTGTGATGTTTCTATCAGCTGTTTGTACCCATTCACAGCAGAGGATCGGCGAGCAAGTGATGTAATGCTACATTTCTCCAAATCGGTTCAGATGAAGAAGCAAATTCATGTTGGATGGCCTGACGGTAAGCAAATTTTCCACAAATTTTCAATTTTTGGGTTACCTATTCCTTTAAAAGTAACAGGTTGCCGTTTTTACTCTGTTATTGTTTCATGTGCACAGCAACTTGTCTATAATCTATTGCAGTTTCCTAAAACAATTAGAGGGGGGAAGAAATTTAGTATCACATAATTTAAATCACCAATAATATTGGATAAGTTATGGTGGCAATATATATGTATCCCTAGTTGATAACCTTGCCTGCTTAGCCAATTAACAGGTCAAGTGTTATCTCACCCTTTGAGTTAATGTTGTTTAAAATAAGTGTTAATTGGATTTCATCATTTGTGTGCTAATTTAATTTCATCATTTGTACGAGCATTGCATTTGCTGTGTTTAAATTGTACTGACCACTTTTCCAAAAGCATCAAAAGCCTCAGCAGATCATAGAGACCATTATTTGGTGCCAGTGATTTCTACGATGTACTTAGGGTTACGATGCTTTGCAAAAACATAGATATTGGTCTCCAGATAATAGTCAACATGACTCCACTAAACAAGTCGAATGAACTGGGATTCTCATACAAACAAGATCCAGGAAATTGCATAATATGAGGGCACTGGTCTTTCATTAACAGCTGTTCTGTACCTTACAAACATGATACGGTAAAAGTTACAAAGCCTTCAAAGAACATTCTTTATAAGTCAATCTTATCAAGCAAAGTGTAGGCAGCTCATCAGACAGTAAATCCCTTGTCATTTACCAAAGTATTATTCTACTGGGAGCTACAATAAACAACCCACATATTCACCTACCCATGAATCTTTACCATGAAAAAAATCCATTTAATTCTTCCAATGTTTCAGTCTTAATAATGTTGATGTTGTTATGACAAGCAGAACAACTCTCCTGCTGATTTTCAAGCATTAATTTGAGAAAATTATTGAGTATACCATGTGAAACCAGATCTTAGAGGAATTTCTTATTTTCACCAGCCAGACATAAAAAATAAACAGTGTTCCGTCATAGGCGCTGACAAACCCTGTATATAAAGCATATTAGTGTCTCACTTTACATGCCCAGAGAAAGGAGATGAATACTCAGAGGACTATGTGTCATGTAGTAATTGGCTAAGCTTTATCGTTTTTCCCAGGATGCTGACAGGTCATATACAAATAGAGAAACTGGCCTCTTATTAAAGCGTAAAAAAACCTAAAGCTTTGTTTTCAGTGCTGTGTGTAGTTTTCAAGAGCAGGTGTACAGGTTGGAAGAGCAAATTATATGTCAAGGTTTCTATCAGACAATCAGCAAACATGTTTTACATATTCTGCTTGACTTTACAGAAAAGCTTTAACAATAGTCTGTGTATCTTTACCTTTTAGAATAGGCGGAAACATGGTGAGAGTTCATTTTACACAGCTTTTGGTTTTAGTTGTAGTTTTTCTCTTAAATCCTTTACACTTAGCCCATATTTTCAGCCTTTTCTCTTTGATGAGATTTACACAACGATTGGAAATGACGCAAGCCAGACTTGAACCCAGCATGGCCGCACTATGCTACAGCTCCTATGTTTGATTGACCAATCCTATTCTCTCACCAATAATTTCTGTCTCTATCAACTAAAAGTGGCATAAACCCTCCCCAAAGAGCAGAATTGATTAGTGGAAATGGGTCAGTTGTGTTTGCTATCCACCAGAAGAGCATATGTGGGAAATCGATTTAATAACGCAGGTTGTTCCCCACCAAACAAATGAGGGAACCCACTCTCATTTTTAAGAGATGACTGACAAATGTTACGTCTTACGGTATCGCTCAAAGCATCGTCGCTCCTACCTTTTCCAGAGCATATGACGCCGTCGGCCATCTCACACAGGCTCTTGCTCTGCTCGTCCGTCATGTCACAGCTGCGGGGGAACTGGCAGTGCTTCCCAAACCATCTATCACTGCAGATACAGCGGCCACACGAGCAGAAGCCGTGGCCTGGGGGAGACACACAGCGCACACACAATCACTTTCTCTCCTTACCAAAGAAAACCAACATTTGTATCTGCCAAAACAAAGCAACGGTCTGATTGATCCAGGCAAATATAATTGGTTCATACAGACAGGGATTCATTTCCAGACTGTCTAATGGTGTTGCGGTATATGGGTCTAATCACTTATGGACACCATGGGATGTTCATTCTATATCTCCGATCGTGTTGGAGCGTTACGGCATTCGTAACAATCTAACTGTATAAATTGTGCTCAGTCAAATCCTTTATTTCAGCTGCCTAGATAGATAGATAAAATAACAACAAAAAAACTATATCGATAGATATTGTTTAAACTTGACA